GAAGTTTCATAAATATCTATTATGGCAAATTTTCAACGAATTTTTTGAATAGCCCTGTTTTCAGATGGATAAACTCTGTTTACGTTCATATATAAAAACTCGTTGGTTATTAGGGTTAACTGCTACACAAATTCATGATGAATTAACTACTGCTTATGGACAAGGTGTTGTTTCATATCGTACAGTTGCTCATTGGATTCATCGATTTTCAAGTGGACGGGAGTCGTTAGAAGATGATCCTCGAAGTGGTCGTCCAATAGCCATCATTACTCAACAAAATATTGATGCGGTCCAGGGCCTGGTGAATGATGATTCACATATTAGTATTGATTATGTTACTACCATCTTAGACATAGTTATCATATAAACTATCGTGATGAATACTTGGAGATTTTAGTCAAAAATTTACATAAGAAAAAATCAGCATAAAAAATAAGTAGCATAAATTTGCATTATAAAAATGCAAAATCACATATGTAAGATATTGTTCTCAATCTGAATTATTTTCAAGAAGAAAAAATCAAAGTTATAACTCATCCACCATACTCATCAGACCTTGCTCCTTCAGACTTTTGGTTCTTCAGTTGTCTGAAACGTAGTCTTGATACATATCCAGATGCTACAAGTTTAGCTAAAGCAATACCCAAGGAGCTCAATTCAATACATATTCAAGAATATCAAAAGACATTCCAGAAGCGGATTGAAAGGATGAAACTTTGTATTGAACATCGTGGGGACTACTTCGAACATTTACTGTAAAAAGATTAGTAGAATGTTTTGTCTATGAATAAATATTTGAAAGTCCGAGAACTTATTGACTAACCTATGTATATTAACAAGCAAAAAATTTATTTTTAATCAACTTACTCTTTGTTTAATTTGATTATTTGTACAAATTAATGATTTATTATTTGTTGCCATTGTGATGAATCGCTCAGATAATAATGATGTTTTTTCAAGGTTTAATATATTTAATTGTGTTTCTTCAACAAATGAATCACCTTTTGTTCGTTTATTGATGTGTAAATCATCTTCATATGATCTATAGATATAGAAATAAAAAATCAATTTAAAAAGAAAAAGAATAAATATTAGTTTTACTTTGATCGTCGATGTTTATTGTCTGATAAATTTGAACTAACATAATTAAGGAAAGGAAAAAAAATAAGAAAAAATAGATTAGATTTTCTGTTAACCTGCTATTCAATGGTTGATAGTGATAACTTGTTTGTATGATTTGTGAAACAGAATTGATTATGTGGCACTGTTATTGATCTATCTATATGTATTAAAATTAAAAAAAAGGTTTATTTTATTTTAAAATTGTTTTTATGACTAACCAGTTGTATGCTCTAACGACGAATGATTATCATTGTGTGTTGGTGATATAGGATATAATTGTGTACTATATAATGTTATCATTGTTGTATTATTTGTTAAAGCATCTACCGAAAAAACAAGGAATTTTTTTGATTTTTAATAAAAATAAAAATAATGTACCTTGTCGCATGTCAAATGATGAAATTGTAGAAATTCTTTGTGAAGAATATTGATGTAACTAATAGAATAATCATTCTATTAGATGACAAAGAAAAGTTTTTTTCTTTGTTTTACCTTTTGTGTTGAAAGATAAATGATAGGAATTTCTTGTTGAATAGTATTCATTTTTGATGAATCAGACACTAAAAAATACAACAAGATACTGTTCGATTGTTTATTTCTTTCGTTCTTTTTTATTTAAACAAGGAAATAGACACTCTCTTTTCATCGACAGATATTTACATTTGAAAAAAATTTTCATTTGTTTGAACTGAAAACGTAACAGATTGATTAACTATTGAACCACCAGATACTAGTAGGATTAGTTCCACATGTTCAAAAATAGACCATAGGTCAAAGTTTGTTTCTCGAACGATTGAAGGCTCATATTAGAATTAATCTTTCCATGGCTTAACACTAAATCTTACATTTGTGGAATAAATCAATATTTCGTATTAATACATGAAAAACAATAGTTTTTGATGTTGATATTAATCTCACACACTATTCACGATTGTTCCTCGAATTTTCAAAAAAAATGGCTAAATTTACGAGAAAAGAGAACAAAAGAATTATGCTACATAGAAGTGACTCATCATCGTAAATAGACTCAATGGAACTCTATGTAGAGAAAACAAAAGATTGATATAGATAGATATTAAACCAAGTATGTAAAACAATGGATAAAAGTTGGTTCTAGCCTAGTCGACCGCATCGTATATTTTCGAATCAATGATAATTCAGTCAATGATTTTTTTTTATTTACGGTACGCTTCAGCTGCATTCAACTATCTCTCAAAAAAATGAGCTCCAGTTCGGTTCGTTTTTACTCTCTACGTGGTATAAAAAATGGACTTTATTCATTCTATTAAAATATTTTTTTGCTTAATAACTTTATTTTTCCACTAAAATATATTCAGTCTGTTTAATATATAAAAACAAGCAACTTAATTTATTTTTCGCTTGTGAATAAAGGAAACAGAAAATTAGTCTGTTTGACCATTTCTCTATATACCCATGCCCTTTGAATCGGCTAAAAATTGCCGATTAATCCCGATTCATCGAAACGATAATCGTGAGCTGAATCGCGATAGAATCGCCGATTATTCCCGATTATTTCGGCGATTTTTACGATAAATCGTGATTTTATGCAAGATTTAACTGTCTGTTTACTGATATTTTCTACTATTTCATTGGTTCTTTTGGAGACACATATTTGGAATTTTTCTTGAATTTAATTCAATTTCTTTTTTCTCAAGATCCATGCCGATCAGATCGCTCGATCTGTCCGATCTCGAGCTGGTCCGATTCTTATCAGACTGCTTCAGTGTAGTCCTCTCCAGATCATGGATCGGGATTGGCATTTCCTTAATTAAAAATAACCAAGAAATAATTCATCAGAAAAGTATATTTCGAAAACTTATTTGTTATGCGTTGAACGGCGTTGCTTATATATCCGTGTGTGTTCATAACAAAACGGTGAATGAATAATTGTCATGATTTATCAATGATTTTTGAAAATCAGCTCTTCTCCCATAATCGCGATAAAATCTGATATAATCGTCGAACTTTTAAAGAAATACGATAAATCACGATTTTACGCCAATTTTTTAGATAATCACGAAAATCGCGGTGATTCTCACGACATGGGTACTTTTCCCAATTGAACAATTTCAAAAAAATAATGATTCAGATTGTAACAGAATAAATGTTTATTGATATAGATCAGAGACAGTCTTAGAAGTCTCTATTCAACAGTCAGATCAGCTAAGACTTCATCCGAATTTTGTTGAATCTTAATGAGATCTCATCAGAATATTTGATAAGATTCCGTTGAATTCTATAAGAATATTGATGGATATGGGATGGTGGAAGGACATTCGGATCCTCAGTGTTGCAAATCTGGCTAGATCATCTTCTAGAAAATTTCTGTTACATGGTGAGCAGTTATTGATTAAGTGATAATCATATTCGTCAACAGTGTTGCGTATTGATTAGCTTAACGTGGATGGAAAGCGATCTCAAACATTTATGTTTAAATGTCTAGCTTACTTATTCAAATTTATCTTGTGTAACTTACTCTTAATTTGTTTTTCTACGAATGACTATGTCAGTGAACTGATATTCCTGTTATATATATCAATGAGGCCATCTATGCACATTTCGCTCGCAGACGTCTATCTCATACACCGACGCATGTCTCATCCGCGGCCGTCTATCT